TACGTACGTCGTCGTCTCTCTCTCTCTCTCTCTCTCTCTCTCTCTCTCTCTCTCTCTCTCTCTCTCTAGCCACCATCATCCCAACTGTACAGACAACCTCAGAACTGTGCACAAGGCTTAAGAAGTTAACGGACAAGAACCATGCGGTCAGGCTCTCTTCTCAGTGTCTTCCCTCTCGGTTTCCCGATCAAACCGCCGTCTAGCATCACCACCGGTGGCCGATGTCACCCCATCTTTGTGGGCTGTGAGGTGGCCCAAGAACCATCACCACCACTTCAGCCACCACTTCAGCCCTAGTTCTTATCACCAACCCCGCCCACCGCTGCATGCTTGACATGCGAGCATGGGGCCAATCCAAACTGCTCAAGCCAAAGCACCAGACCATGTTAGGGTACAAACAGGAAGAGCGCAATGCTTCCCCGGAAGGGAACGGCAGGGTTCAGTCAACGATCCAATAGTCGGCCGCTGCACCTTCAGCTGCACCTCTTGGTCGACGAATCGTCGTGAGCGCCGAGAAGGCAGGCTGCCTTGCGGTAACATGGTGCTAGCATGGTTGTGCGCAGCGCTTGCTGCAGATACTGCACCCGGCCGACCAGGCGACCAGGTAATGGGAGGACGTTGAAAAGGAAGGGTGCCCCGGGGACGAGCGAGCCTGCGGTTTGACTTCTTAACGTTTGCGTGTGCTCTGCCTCAGTCCCATTTCTGCTTTTTTCTTCTGGCGGGATATCGCGTCCCGGTTCGCAACGATCCTCATCACTTGTCAACACACTCTTCTTCTCCTCGAACTTTTTTATAATAACGTAGAGGGGGAGTGAGAGGTAGAGCACGCGGCCATGACCGTTACGCAGTACAATGCCCAGCGCAAGCCGGGCCGGGAGCACATCCCGCTTTACCCCAGTGCTTACATTGTTCTGCGCATCATCCAGTTCGCATTTGCCTTCATCGTCCTTGGGCTGACGGCATACGCGATCGGGTACTATATGGACCACACGGTGTATGACGGTCGGCCAAAAACTAGCCTGGCGCTTTCGGTGGTAAGCATGCCTGACTGACTATCGTAGTGACGAGAAGATAATTAACGACTGCAGGCTGTCTTGAGCATCGTGACCAGCATCTACCACCTCATCAGCTGGTTCGGTGTTCCCTTCCTCTTCAACTACTGGGCCATCTTGAGTGTCGACATCTTTTTCGTCGTCATGTGGTTGGTCGGGTTTGCTCTCCTGGCATCCGAAGCCGCCTATTGGTATGATCAGTTTAAATACTTTAGCGTGAGCGACGAGGGTAGTGCATGGTATGTTCGATAATGTGTTCATTGGCAAGCACTTGACTGACTCTGTTCAGGCTCGGTTCCCAAGCCGCTGGTTCTGCCGTTGGTGGTGTGGAATTGTGAGTTTTTCCCCCCCCCCCCCTTATGGGACAACAGATCATCGGGAGTAGACGACTAACACCCCTCAGCGCGCTGCACGTTGCGACCCTCGTCATACATTCCATTGCCTTGCATCGGCACCGCAAAGCTGGTCTACACGCCATTCCGGGCCAGGCGCCGACTGCCCCGGCCAGCATTGCTGTACCCGTTGTGGCTCTTGCTGCCCCCGTGGTCAGCGAGAAACCTCCCGCCTACTCCCAACCTCAACCTCAATTCGTCCTGCAGCCTCAACCGGCCTTCCAGCCGGCTCTTCAGCCGCCGTTCCAGCCGATCTCTCAGTCCCTGCCGCCCTACCAGCCTTTCCCTCCGCAACAACAACAACAACAACAGCAGCAGCAGCAGCAGCAGCAGCAGCAGCAGCCGCCACAGCAGCCGCAGCAGCCGCAGCAGCATCCATCCAACCCTCATGCTTCTTGGGTTCCCTCCCCTGTGGGCACTCCAGCTCCGCAGACGGTTGCTCCCGTGCAGGCTCATGCGCAGGTGGCTGCCCCTAACCCTGTACCGAGCCCCTCGCCCGAAAAGCAGCCGCAGCAGTACCAGGGGTTCCCTCCGCAGGTTCAGCCTCGGCCTGCTCCGGCTCACTTCCCGGGCATTGACGGACGTCAGGAGCTACCTAGTCCGGAGCATGGGCCTATGGGGCCAGGAGCGGAGCTGCCGGGTGATGAAAAGTTTCATTGAGGGGTAGTGGAGGAGGAGTTTGAATGATGGATAGAGCAGGAAGAGGAATTATAGGTTAGGGGTTTTGTTACGATATATAGCAATGACTCTGCGATTGGATACCGCCGTAATGTGTCAGTTTTGAGATAGGGGGATGATTGGTGTACTACTTACGAAGTGCGTTAATGGATAGTCTGTTACAATTGGATGCCCGTACCCGCCTTCAATCCAATTCATTGCTCGTTACTGGCTTGATGACGTATCAAGAGCAAGGTACTTTTTGACTATGAGCATACGCATACACACACACACACACACATACATACATACATATATAAATACACACATACATACCAGTACCTTACTTCCTCAACCTCTTAGTAGCCTTCTTCACCCGTCCCTCCACAATGCCAACCCACCGCCTTGCATTCTCCCAGTCCCCCCGCTGAATACTCTCCATCAGACTCGGGAACACTTCCCCTGCATAGCCCGTCCATAAGCCAGGCGCGAAAACGACGTGCTTGAACCACCTCCTTCCGTCTAGTCCTGGGCGGTACAGGAAACTGCGTTCGAGGAGTTTGTATTTGCGGTTTATTTTGTGGAGGGACTTGAGGGTGTGGTGGAAGCGCAGGCGGGCGGGGAAGTTCCACCACGGAGGGGGGTATTCTAAGAGAGAGGAGAGGTGGGCGGCTTGGTGATCGAGGGACTCTGCGGTGTGGGTGAAGTGGGCTAAAGAGTGGCGCAGCGAGCGGAGGGAGTGTTTTAATTTTTGGATGGAGGGGTCATTTTCGAAGGAGGAGTTGGGGGAGGGGGAAAGGGAGGCGCGCAGGGGGAAGTAAATCTCGTTGTCGAGGAGGTCCGTCTCGGAGAGGAGGGTGACGTTGGAGGGGGAGAGGACCTCCTCCAGTCGGACCTCGACTTTCTTAACGTAGTCTTTTAAAGCTGAGGCGTAGTCTTCGGCTTTGAACGGTATCACCCCCTTACTGGCCAAATGCCCCGTCACGACGCCCACCAACTGCGCCATCGCGCGGTGGTATTTCCACTCCGGATCGCCGAATGTCTTCATCCAGTGGAAGCTGTCGTAGTTGCTGTGGTAGTGGTAAACGGGGTCGTTCTCGGCTGGGTCGAAGCCGATGTGCAGCGAGGGGATGCCTGCGTGGTCTTGGAAGGCCACAAAGTCGGAGCCGGAGCCCATGGTGCGGATTTTCTTGTCCCAGATGCTGTTGATGGTTTGGTTACCATCATGAGCTGGAGAGGGGATCAGATGGGTGACGTTGTGCAACAGGGAGAATAGGAGAGGGGCCGCGGAGGGCTTGAGGTGTGTGCCCGTTACGGCGGTGTCGATGTTCTGTTAGAGTCAGTAACCAACCATCATCTCAAGGGCTTGAAAGTAAATCCTGTAAATATAACGGGAGTGGACGGGAGTGGCCTTGAGCTGGAAACAGAAATGAGACTCACGATATATGCCACACTGGCATGCGTCAACCAAGGCAAGTACTCTTCCACCCATTCAGTCGACCCAACCAGCCCATACTCCTCACCATCCCAGCTGGCAAAGACAATTGTCCTCAACGGCTTCCATCCGGCCTTCAGTGCCTCCCCAAAGGCTCTTACAACCTCATTCAGCACTGCCGAGCCGCTGTTTGGGTCGCCTGCTCCTCCAGCAACCCACGCATCGCGATGATTCCCGACCACTATATATTCGTCAGCCCCTTCACATTTTCTCTCTCTCTCTCTCTCTCTTTCTTTCTTTCTCTCACATCCTCTCAACACTTCTCGACGGTAAGGGAAACTTACCAATAATCTCGTCCAATAACGTCCCATTCACTATTCCAATGACGTTCCAAATTGGTGTCGTGACATACTCCTGCTTGTTATACAAGTTCACGACCACATCATCTGGCGTCGGGCCGACGTTATACTCCACGCCCTTGTGCTTGAGACCGAGGTTGCGGGTCCAATACTTGTTGAAAGTATCGGCCTTGGGGCCGTGGCCGTTCAGCGCTTTGAGGATCGGAAGAGCGTCCTGGTAGGAGATAGGGATGGAGGGGATGGAGGGGATTGCGGTGTGGACTGGTTGGCGGGGGACACCAGGTTTGGAGGGATAGCCGGGGGTTGTTCTATTATCACTTCAGTTAGTTATTCACTCAGGGTAAGGAGGAGAGGGATTGCAGAACGGAGAAGGGGGACAGAAAAGGGGATACGAAAAAAAAAAGGAAAAATTACAAATTATAATAATAATAAAAAAACTTACGGATCTCCCGCCGCAAAACTCAAAAACTGTACGCTCCCCCTCTGCACACTACTCGGCTGCCGTGCCGGTCCCTCCGGATAAGCCTCATGCCCATTCACCTCAGTCATATTCCCATCATCCCCGGGGTCACTATACAACAACACGCCCACCATACCCAGCTCCTGGGCCCGCTTGACCTTTAACCCCCTGAAGATACCCCCGTACCGCGCAATCGCGATCTTGCCTTCCAACGAGATATTTGCGCGCTGGAGGTCCTCAAAGTCCTGATAACTCCCATAATTCACGTACACTACGGGAGCCGTGACGTTGCCCGAGGCAGAGTACCCGTGGAAGGTTGGCACGCGAGAAGAGAGGTTGGTTGTTGGGTCGGAGGTAAGGATGTCTTCCTCTAAGGAAGCCTCATAGGCTACCTTCCAGCTACCCTCCTCCCCTTTCTTAGCCTGCTCCTTCTCCCCGTCGTCGTCGTCGTCGTGGTCATCCTTGCGGTTGAGCAGAGCAAGTCGATGTTCCACGGGGTAATTGAGATAGACTTCGTAGGGAATAATCTCTGACACAACCCCCCACTCCTCCCACTTCTGCCCAGTCCACTCCGCCTGAGAGTAATTCCTCCCCGCGACGTGTACGCCAGAGGTGTAATACCGGCTCCATTCTTCTGCTTTTGTGCCGGAAGGCGTCTCAATTAAAATCTTCTCCAACTCTTTTAACCCCAAACCCCTCCTGCTACCGCAACCAGTCGAGGGCCAGGGGCAGGGAGGGGGCTGTTTGTCGTGCGGGGGATAGGGGAAGAGATCCGAGTGGTCGTGGAAGATGATGAGGTCAATCAGGAAGGCAAGGAAGAACCAGGTGAGGATTGAGGCGAGGGCTGTGGTGCAGAAGCGCCGGATTATGGCATTCGAGGGAGTCAACCGGGGAGGGCGGGTCGCCACTGGGACGGAAGGGAGGAGCGGCGTGTGCTCCTCTTCAGGAGAGATTTTGTTTTTGGTTGGCATTATGAAGGTGAGGATATCATTTAGACGAGTATGGACTAGACTTGTTAATTGTTTTGATAATGCAGTTCGATAGTGACACGGTTAGGTCCCTTGGATGATGGTGGTCGTGCTAGGTCCTTGGGTAAGCTTAGAGAAGGGTTCGATGACGTAAGTGAGAAAGCACTGGCTCAAGGAGCTTCTCAGTGAGAACTTAACAATTTAAGTCGTAATCACATCAACTTCCTCCTATCACAATGAATCTAGGCTCTGTTCAACGTTCAGCAGCAGCTCAAATCCTAAACAACTCCGCCGGATAAGCACTCCCGAGCGAGGTTGAAGAGATGGCAACCTGTTACGACAAAAGTTGAAGCGGTCATGGCGTGGGGTGCTGACGCAACAGCGGGAGCTGCCGCGTGTTTAAGAGCTGCCATAATCGGCTAGACGGCTGCTGTATGCCGTGAAGGGCGCAGACAGAAGAGCAGCCGCAGGTTGATCTGACCTAGGTTTTTTTTTTTTTTTTGGGGGGGGGGTAGAGGGGGAAGGGGGAAGCGTTTGCTGTCAATGTCAACAAAGAGAATTGGCATCTTTTTGAGATCAATTGATTTTTATAAAAGCTTAAAATCTGTAAGCTTTCCCTGAGTTAGAACTCAAGGTAAGCTAGGGACAGAAAATTTGGGAGTCCCATTATCACGACACCAAGCCCCTAGATGGTGAAGTGCAACGCTGCCGCTACTCGCGGCACAGAAAATACGGAACTCAGGTATCTTGCCCGAGGAACCCGCCCGAGCCAGAATGATGACAGCAATCGCTGAGACAGCAAGGCGAGACCAGAGGCATGGGCTTCTTCTTTTTGCATCACCTTCATGCAGCCTGTCTCCCCTGGACGCGCTAGTGCTACTCGCAGCCGCTCGATGGTCACCGTTCCCATTCCCATCCCTGACTTCACCATGAAGGCTAATGTACCGTGTAAGCATGGTGAATCATTTAGAGTCCCTGCAGAATGCTCTTCACCGAGAAGTGAGAACTTCCTCTCTCTTTTTTTTTTTTTTTCCCTTCTTGACTCCGCTCTTCATGATCATAGCCTTCCCTCTCCCCGAATCCCTCTTATAAACAAGGCACGTGCAGTGCAGCACGGGCCCTTACAAAGCCGTGACTTGCTGGTTTAGTGGCAACCCTGATCGCGACAGTCTCGACGACCGGGCCCGCTTCACCACAGCCCACAGCACACAGCCATGCACACCTCGGGTTTGCCCCGCCATGTGCTGCACCGTTGATCGGTCCCACACCCGACGAGTCCCACTAGATTCTTGGAGTCCAGCCAATCGTGACTCATAAAAGTGAAAGGTCTGGCCGGCTCCATATCCGATGTACGGCGACGGCGAACGGCAGGCGCGCTTCTGTGCCCCACCGGCAGTCTCTGCCTGACAGGGTCCAGCCTGAGGGAGCGTTCCTGCTGTGCCTGTGTCCGTGTGTGTGTGTGTGTGTGTCATTCAGTATCGAGTTCGTGGACCTCGCCGCTTTTTCACTTAACTTTTATGATTATTATTATCGCGTCTCTTCTCTCGCCTCTTCTCCGTTAACTCCGGCCTGGGGTGAGGTCTGAGGTCTGACCTAAAATATTTGCATTACCTACCAGTATATCTGTCCGTCAATTCCTATTTTCCTCTTATATTTTCATTTCTCAGCATTCCTATCCTATGTCAGCGCCCCGGGAGCGGCCCGCATCGTCATAGATAGCCGCCCTCCCCCTCACTGCTACGTCTTCCAATCACCACTCTCCTAGTGTTCCAGTGTGCTGGAGCCACCCGCTCTCCTCCACTGAAGGCAGTTTTGTTACCTACTCGTACACTTAAAAAAAAAAAAGTCTTGGACGGCCAGCAGCCAGTTGCATGCATATCCGCCAGTAACTCGCTGTCACCATGGCTAATCGGACAAAAAATGGGCCTAAATTGCCTGTGCAACAGCTGGCTATTCTGGGTGAGTTCTAACGGAAATCTTAATACACAAGTGAGGTTTGAGACTACGCCCTCTGTCTCAAATATTCAAAGATGGTGATTTTGTCTTGAACCTCAGATCCGACAACTTCAGGGTTACACGCAACCCCAATGCATAATAAGCCAGCCCTGCTAACAACAGCTCACAGCCGTCGCTCGCTTCGCCGAACCCCTGGCACTTACCTCCGTCTTCCCCTACCTGCCCGAGATGATAGCGAGCTTTGGCGTCGAAAAGGACGAGGTCGCTCGCTGGGCTGGCCTGACTGGCGCAATCTTCTCCATCTCGCAGAGCCTGACCGCCGTCTTCTGGGGCCGTGCATCCGACAAATTCGGCCGCAAGCCGACTATCTTGGTTGGGCTGGCTAGTACCATGACGTGCTTTTTGATCTGGGGCATGGCGACCAGCTTGCCGATGGCGATTACCGTTAGGGCGATCATGGGGGGCGGGAATGGGAATGGTGAGTTTCGAAGAGCATAAGGAGGGGAGTTCAATGCTGACTTGATGCAGTCGGGATCATTCGTACCATGGTCGCCGAAATGGTGCCTGAAAAGGAGCTCCAGCCCAAGGCCTTCTCGCTCATGCCTCTGGTTTGGAGTATCGGTTCTGTGTTTGGGCCTGCCTTTGGCGGCTTCTTTGCTCGTCCGGCCGAGCAGTACCCCAACGTGTTTGGCCGGATCGAGCTGTTCAAGCGCTTCCCGTTCTTGCTGCCGAACCTCATGGCCTGCTGCGTGTTCTTCATCTCTTTCATGACCGGCTTGCTGTTCTTGAAGGTAGGCTTTCTCCCACATATGACACAAGACACGGCTGTCAATAGCTGACCTTTTTCCAGGAAACCCTCCACAGCAAACGCCACCACCGCGACTGGGGCCTCGTGTTGGGCGAGAAGCTCACACGTCCCTTTCGTGCCAGGCGTAAGAGCCAACAGCACCACAGACGCCTCTCCTTTGTCGACGACGAGGCATCAGCCCCCCTCGTTCCGCAGTCGCCCGTGTCGACCACCGAGCCAGCTACCCCTATCGAAGAGCAGCCAGTCACCATTAAGGAGATTTTCACTCCCCAGACGAGCCTCAACCTCCTCTGCTACACCATCCTGGCCTTTCACTCCGTCGCCTACGACCAGGTCCTTCCGGTCTTCCTGAACTACCCCCGCCTGCCACCTGAGGAAGCCCATATCAAGCTCCCGTTTAAGTTTATTGGCGGCTTCGGCCTCAGCTCCGATAAAATCGGCACGCTCTTTACCATCTACGGCGTGGCCTGCGGCCTGGTGCAGTTCTTCCTTTTTCCGAAGCTCTGCGCCCGTTTTGGCGTGCTGAATGTCTATCGCGCAGCGTGTACGTACTCTCTCACTCTTTTTTTTTTTTTTTCCCGCCTTCCGCCTTCCTCCCCCCTTCCCCTTCCTCTTTTTTGTTGTTGTTGTTGTTGTTGTTGTTGTGGTCAACCCGACTAACCCCCCCCCTTTCAGGCGTAATCTTCCCAATAATCTACTTTCTCACTCCTTACACAGCCCTCCTCCCCACAGCCCACGCGCGCTACGCCTTCCTACTCGCCCTACTCCTCGCCAAAGGCTTCGTCGTCATAGTAGGCTTCCCCTGTACCACCATCCTGCTCACCAACTCTGCCACATCTTTACGCATCCTGGGCACCCTCAACGGCTTCGCCACCACCTTTTCTGGCCTCGGCCGCGCGTTCGGCCCTGCCCTAACAGGCATCGTCTTTAGCTGGGGCGTCGGGAAGGGCTATGGAATCGCGCCGTGGTGGATGTTGGGGGGGATTGGGTTAGTGGGGATTATTCCGACGATATTTATCGTTGAGGGGGAGGGGCCTTCCAGGGGGGCGAGAAATGTTTCGAGGGAAGAAGAGGAGGAAAGGCAGAGTCTGTTGCGAGAGGAGGATTTGGATGAGGATGTGGCGGTGATTGATTCGGTGGATGAGGAGTCGGAATCGGGAAGTGAGAGCGAGAGGAGGAGGGAGACGAGGAAGCGAAAGGGTTATGGGACTTTGGGTGGGGAGGGGGAGGTGAATGGGGAGTCTAAGTGAGTTTTTGAGGAATTTCATGGGCTGCGGTCTCCACTGTGATGGATTAGTCAGAGGTGTTGAGCTAGAACTTTTTTTTGGATAACTTTTGTTTTTGTTTTGGATACGGTACACAGAGGGATATGGTCTGGATATATCGGGGTTAGGGAGTCGGGATCTCAAAAAGAAGATGGGGTTAGTTTCGGGTATGATATTGAAAGGAGTAATGCTGGGAGGGGAGAGGTATATAGGTATATAAAAATGGAATTGATTTGGATTATTTAGGGAGAGAAATTGCTTATGCGTATAGTGAGAGGTTGTGAGACACCCTTAAAGAGTTGCTGGGCGGTCATCAGGACTCGTTTGGAAAGGCAACCAATCCAGTGTCACGCAACGTTGAGAGCCAGGATTTAATCTCTTTTCTCCTGGATAATGCTTATACGGAGGAACAATCTAACATCGATCTTTCTTTTGGATGGTATCAGTGCCGACGGTATTACATCCTACCTCTCCATACCACCACTTTTAGCACCAGCAGAGGCCAGCACAACCGGCGGCCAGGTGCGCACAACGATAGCATACAGACAGCCAACACGAACAGTTCTTTTTTTTTTTTCTCTTTTTCTTTTGATAACAAAACAAGAAGCAGCTTTTGTTATTGGTATGTAGAGGTATGGTATGGTATGGTATGGTATGTCCTAACGCAATACATCCACCCAACAACCCTCAACCGTCATACTCGTCCTTCGTCATCTTTGCGGTATCAATCAACTATCATCTTTCTTTATCGATCCATCATCGTCACTCATTCCTCCGTCAATCCATTTCTTGGGGTAACAACATGAAGAAGGGGTAATCACTGAGGTATCCTCCGCCTATCCATCCGACCGTCCAACCATCCGCCCATGCCGTTCCACTATGCCTGCCTGCCGTCCTACACAGAGGAAGGAAAGAAAATGAGAACCCAAGAGAAGTTTCCTTGACGGCGGTAAGCTCGTGAGGCCTACCATCAGTCGGGAAATGGAACGAAAGGGGGAGGGGGGGGGGGGAAAATTGGCTGAAAGAAATGTTATAATCCCCCTCCCCAAAAACACACACACACACACAAACACAAACACTCTTCCACTCAACCTTCTTCCAACCACCTCAAAGACGCTCACTGCGTCCTATAAAACTTCTTATACACCAAATGCAACAACAAGTTCACATTCAACTTCAGCGCGCCCCCCTCAAAAAGATTCATAAACTGCCGTGTCTCAAACTGCGCCTGCAACAGGTCCTCAATGGACACGACCGCGCTCGCGCCGGGGATTTGAATATGTCCCTTGCTCCCTTCCAACACGAACACGCCGACCTCGTCACACGAGATGGTGAGGTTGATACTTCCCCAGTCGCGCTCGGGCACGCCCTGCCAGGAGACGAGGACGCCCTTGTCGGATAGGGCGCGCGCGCTGTACTTGTAGGAGCCGAATTTAGGGACGCGGCCGGAGCGCTCGAGCTCGCGCTGGTGATTGTATTGTTTCGTGAAGGGAAGGAGGAAACGTTTCTTACTGTTGGACGGAAATCAGTACCATCAAACAACAAAACACGAAACAATAGGAAAAAGAAAAGCCGGGGACGCAGGGGAGAAGAAGGGGGGGGGGAGAGGAGGGGAAAGAAGGGGAAAAAGGGGGAAGGGAGTGGGGGAGGAGACAAAAGGGAAGTAAAATAGATGAAGAAAAGAAAAGAAAAGAAAAGAAAAGAAAAGAAAAAGAAAAAGAAAAAGAAAAAGAAAAAGAAAAAGAAAAAGAAAAAAACAACATACCCCTTCTTATTCTGCAACGTCAACATCGCCTGCTCGATATAATCATCATAACTCTTGCGCTGCTGTTCGAGATACTTCGCCTTCTCGAGTAAATTACTCAGCGTCATTCTTACACCTTCCAACTCACGCTGCCTCTGCACGCGCCGGCGACTCTTCGTCCTAATATCGAGCGCGATCGCATTCAGTATATCCTGGTAATGATTCTTGCGCGTGATCCGACCCATCTGCTCCAGGCGCATGACGTTCTCCAGCGCGGTCCTCTTCAGCTCCATGTACGACATGGTCGAGATATCCATGTTCGCATCGGAGTAGGCGCCCTTCGAGCCGTTGGCAAAGTCTTCCCTGAGGACAGCCTGCCACTTATTCTCATCCTCGGGCGTGATCGGCTTCACGAGGATCTCCATGAGATTCGCGCCCGTCTGCACACGAATAATGTACAGGATGCAGCGCTTGGTCTCCATGAAGAGGGCTTTCACGTCAGCGTCGGGATCCTCGAGATTCTGCAGCTTCGGCGTGAGGAACAGCTGGATATCCGACGACCCGGCCGCGGTCATCTCGCTCTCATTGTGCTTGGCGCTCCCCAGGTCGTGGACAATCTCGCGGATGATGTCATCCCTATTCGGGGAGATGACCGGCAGCTGCGAGGCGACGAGATTGTGGATGGCGAAGATGTCGCTCATCTTGATGTACAGCGTGGGCTTGTTCTTCGCGTACAGGTCGTTGAACTCGTCGATGTCGAAGGTCGCTTCCGCGTCGGCGACCGAGATGATGGCCTCGGTGAGCTGGGTCAGGCGGTCGACGGACTCGGCGACGAAGGCGTTGAGCGGCTGCAGGTAGATGTTTTCGCCGCCGAAGGGCCGGCCGGAGGCAATCTGCCCAAGCACCTTGGCCACCTCGCCTAGGTTGCGCTTCTGCAGGGGGCTCAGCTGGCGCTCGATGACGCCGACATTCTCGGGCGCCGTGAGGGCAGGTTGGAGGTAGAACCGCCACAGCCAGTTGCTCACGATCTGCAACAACCGGGCGTGATCCTCCCTCGGGAAGCGCTGCGCGAGAGACTCGAACGTTTGCCTGCACACAAACCGCAGGCCGTACGGCATGCGCGGGAGGAGATCCTCCAGCAGGATCAAGAACTGGTCGCAAATCTCGCGCAGGTCGCGCAGGTGATCGATGAAGACTGCCTTCGTCTCCGGATCTTTGATGGCGAGCTCGCGGGGGATGTCGAGGGGCCTGCGGCTGGGACGACCCGTCCTCAGCTCCTCATTGTTGATCAGCGACCGGTAGATCTGCATGGGGTCGCTCTCCAGGTCCAGTTCCGGATCATCGATGATGTTGTCGCGGATCAGCGGGCCCATCAGGTCGCGCAGGAACTTGCGGTCGCGGGGCGAGCGCGTGTAGCTGTTGAAGAGCCGCATCCAGAAGAAGCTGCCGCGCAGGTAGTCGTGTAGCGTGGAGCAGGCGTCGACCTCCTCGCGGATCGAGCGCCCTAGTAACTTGAGAAGGTAGTACTCTTCTCTGCGCTTCTGGGCGTACCCGAACAGCCCCATCATCAGATGCTCGATGCGCTTGCATTCCTTCTCAGGCGTGCCCTCCTCGCGCAGGCGACGGAACAGACGGGCCAGGTACTGTGGCTGGGTCTGCAGCAGGAAGAACAGCTGCTGGTAGAGTTCGAGCTTGCGCCGGGAGCCCTTGTTGAGCGCCTTGAGATCGAACTGGTTCGTGCTAGCAATCGGGGTATTCGCAAGCAGACTGCTGGCATGGCCGCCCAGTGTATGCTGATGCTTGATGACCTCGTCCAGGGTAATCTTGTTCTTGACGAGCAGCGCGATCTTGATGTCGAGCTGGTCGATGTACTGCTCGAGCATCTCGTTCTGGCGGACCTGTTGCACGACCGTCTTGCGCAGGCGCTCGAACTCCACCTCTTCGTTGAAGTCAAAGTCACTATCGTTGAGCAAGTGGACGAAGTTCTTGACGGCGTTGACAGGCGGATTCTTGCCGGAGATAAGACTCTTGTAGGCCTGGCCCTGGAGTTTGGCGCGCACCAAGCTCTGGATCTTGACCACCTTCTGCATGTTCTCCAGGTAGTGCCGCCGCTTGTCCTCGAATCTAGCGCGGATAATGTAGCCCTTGGCAGCGGCCTGGAGCTCGGTGATGATGGGCTCGCACTCATCCAACTCATCCAGAATCCGGCCGACCTGGACTCTCGTGAGCACAGCCCTAGCCAGAGCCTGCAGCTGCTCAATTTCCTCCTCGTGAGACGCCAGCTCGTCCAAGAAAGCCGACTCCTTCTGCCGATGCATCGCACCCCGAATATGCGCTTGCAGCTGCACAATCGCCGGCTCCTCGGCCTCCAGGGCATCCAGCAGGTTCGAGATCCGATTCCTCTCCAACATGCCTCTGATATTCGCCTGCAGCGCAACAATCTCCTCCTCACACTCCGCGAGACAGTCCAGCTTATCCGAAATCTCCCTCCTCACCGCCGCAGCTCGGATAGCAGCCTGCAGCTTCCCCAAATCCGGCACATGCTGCCGCAGCTCAGCCTGCACGCCTCGCACCTTGCCCCTAGCCAGCTTACCCCGGGCAGCGGCCTGCAATGCCGTCCACACCGGGGTCAGGTCCTCCAGCTCCTCCTGCTGCTCGCCGATCTTCTTCCTCAGCAGCGCCGCGCGAATACCCGCCTGCAGCTCCGTAATAGCCGGCGTCCCAAGCCGCAGCTCCGCCTTCTCGGCATCGAGCTTCTTCCTCTGCAGGAACCCGCGCACCGCAGCCTGCAGACTAGCAACCGCCGGCGCGGTCGTCTGCTGAACCTCCTGCTCCTGCGCCAGCATCTTCTGGCGGACGAGAAACCCTCGCATCTTGGCCTGGATGTGGCGGATCGGGCCGGCGGCCATCTCGAGCTGGGCGCGCTTCTCCTGGACTTCGCTGCGCACTTTCGTCGCGCGCAGCAGGCTCTGCAGCTTGAGGATGTCCTTCTCGACGTGCTTGGCGATCTGCTTCGTGCGGCGCTGGCGGCGGCGCACGAGGAACCCGCGCGCGACGCTCTGCAGGTCGGTCGCCCAGGCGTCGATGGCGAGACGTCGACGTACGAGGAAACCGCGCGCAGCCGCCTGCAGGTGGGTGGCAAACCGGCGCATCTCGAGGCGGTAGCCGTAGATCTGGCGGGCAAAATCGCCGCGGATGCGCGACTGCAGGTCGATCAGCCACTCCTCGTTGTCCCAGAGGTGCTGCATCATGTGGCCGAGCTTGACGCGGCACATGGCGCCGCGGATCTGGGCCTGGAAGTCGGTGATGATGGCTTCTTGCTCGGCGAGTTCTCGCTCGATGCGCTCTTCCTCTGTTTCTTCCGGTTCCGGGGGTTCCTCGATGCCAAAGTCGGCGCCCATATTGCCGAAGCTAGGCACGTTGGCTCCGAGCTTATCGAGACCCTTTTGTGTAGCCTCCAGCTCGTGGTGCTCGAACTCTAGCTGGCCGACCAGATTGCCGATGCGGAATGTGACGATGCCTTTGCGGTAGAGCAGCCAGCTGAGCGCGTGGATGCAGTAGATGACCTTGGGGATGTTTTTCTTCTCATACAGGTCTATCAGCTCGAAGCGGAACAGTTCGGGCAACTGCACTTCGTCGAGGTAGTTGAAGAAGATGGCGATATTGTCCGAATGCCGGTACTGCAGCTTAGGATGCCGGAATATCTTGTACCGACGGTGCGGGTTGAGCGCTTCGACGACCTCGGCCAGCGTGACACCGTCTCTTAGCGCCTCTTCCAGCTCTATAATAGGAGGGATGGCCTTCTGGATCACGTCCTCGATCCACTCCTTGGCCTCGCCGATGTGGCAAAGGTACTCGTACGCCTGCAGGAACTGGCGCTGCTTGTCCATCCAGTTGCGCCCCTCCCAGCCATACGCGCGCCGATTGTTGGCTCGGTTAGTCCTCTGCAACCTCCGCCGACCGCGAAGACCCGTGACCTCGGCCGCTGGTATGATAGCGAACTCATCTGCGCCATCCTGGGCCAATTTTGACAGCGTCCGTAGCTGGTTCGTCGAAGACTTGGACAGCTTCTCGAGCTCTGGCGTCGTCAGGGACGTCGTGTGGGTATGGGTCAATGGCGGCGGGCTTCCTGCGTCACTGGCTCGTCGAACCACAGAGTCGGCGCGCGTCAGGAGCATCGACTTGGGACGGAGATGGGGCGAAGGAGAGTGATGATGAGGAGGGGTAGGCGGCGTATCAGGCGCAGGAGAGGTGTTCCGTCCATAGTCGGTCAATGAGAGCTTGCCGATGTCAACGCTGTGGCCTCGGTCATGGCGAATGGGAGCTCGAGGAGGGGTCGTTGGCCGCGGGGTCTGAGGGAGGGGTCGGAGCGACTGGCGCGCCGTCTGGTAGATGTTTTCGGCCGGCCGAGTTGACGTTTGGGAGATGGAAGAGTAGGTCTGTGATGAGGTGAGTGTTGAGGTAGGATGGCGAAGCGATGATGATGTAACCTCGCTCCGGCCGCGCTTGTGGCCAGGGTAGGCACCGTAGCCAGAGGAGGAGTATATGCTAGAGGGCGAGGAAGTCATGGAGGAGCGGCCGAGTTCGTAGCTAGTCGACGAGGAGCTGTGAGAATGAGATGAGTATGCTGAGGATGAGGACGATGCTGTCGAGACCGTCGAAGCCTGTCGATGCACGGGGTATTCGGCAGTTTGGGACTGCCGCAGAGGATGCGGCCGATAGGAGGAAGCCATATTTTCGAGGGGCTGTTTTGTTTTTTCTGTTTTAGGTGGGGTGTTACCAGCACGGGTGCCGACGTCGGTCACACGGTTACGGTACGGGCGCAAACATCAGATCGAAAAATAAAAGAAAAATAAATCAAATAAAAACAAAATAGGCCCAGTCGAGACGAGTGAGGTGACGGGAGACTCTTGAGACTGAGTGTTTTAGACCGCGCTGCGGGGCAGTATAGGCAGGAAGTCGGGAAGATTTCGAAAGAAGGACAACCTCGCTCTTGGGACGAGGACGGATGGGCAACAATGCTCGAGTCGAGTCAATTCAGGGAGGACGAGGACCATCGATAAAGGATCCGATCCAGGTCAAAGTCAGGGAATTAGGGGAAAAAAAAATGAAGGGTCAAATCACGACAATGGATCGGATGCTTGATTGCAAACGCTCCGGTTCTGGAATTCCCTGCAAACGCCAGCCCGCAGCGCCGCCAGAGCTAAAAGCCCCAAAGCGAGGTTGGGACCTGGATGTCGATGATGGTGACGCAAGTAGTGCAAGTGAGTGAAGAACAAAAAAGACGAAATGCCAGAAAATAGGCTACTCAGTGAACTCACGACTCCAGGGCGATGCGATCGATGATGTCCAATCTCAAGCTCTCTTTTACTCCCCGTCTGCCCAAGCCATAGGCCGCATTGCATCGGGTCGCAGCGAAAGACGAAAAATTGGGAGCGAGTGACCTGGGAGCGACGAGGAAGTGGGCCGGCACTTGAGTGGTTGGAAGCCAAATCTCAGGTGGTTGGGATTGCCGTGAGCGTCCCCCCCCCCCCCGCCGGCCCGGCTGCCGCCCAGTCAAAGAACGGCTCCTTGTTTACACGCAGCTTGTGCCGCCCCAGCAACCACGCCCTCTGTGCCACTCCCCACTCCCAGCTGCTGCTCTTGCTGCTGCTCGCTGGCGGACACGCCCCCGCCATTCAAGACAGTGCGGAAGCCTGATTTGTGGGGCATCCACTTGGGATGAGTGGGGCCAGATACTACCCCTGCCACCGGCTTGATTGCTTGGCCCGTGCTGCAGGGGGATGTAGCAGCCGATCGGTCACGGGAATGCAAAACCACCGATTTCTGCATTTTTGGCGGGGCTTCCGCACGAGCCCTCTCACCGCCTTCCGTTTCTGCGCTGCCCCGCAATCGGCCGCCGTCGCAGGCATAAAAAATTTCAGAGGCAAACTCTGAAACTTCTCCCTTTCTCTTTTCTTGGGGGGGAACAGTCGGCCGAGCTTGTCAAAGGGTCATCATCGTCGCTGTCTCCCCCCTCGTACTCTTATCCCAGCCCACCAACAGTCGCTATTTCTTCTTCAGGCCGCCCTTTTTAGCACATTTCTCATCCATCGTTCCCAATCGCAAATTAGCAAAAAAAAAAAAAAATGGCCACCGCGAAGGGTTTCCTCAACCCCCACAATGACCCTGAGATCCTCGACTACCGGAAGGCGGAAGAGTATCTCAAGGAGTACGAGACCCGTGATGGCCTCAGCGTCTACGAGCTGATGGACACCCGGAAGCACGGCGGTCTCACCTACAATGACTTCCTCCTGCTTCCCGGCTACATTGGCTTCCCCGCCTCGGCGGTCACTCTAGACTCGCCCATCACCAAGAAGATCACCCTGAAGACGCCGTTCGTCTCGTCGCCCATGGACACCGTCACGGAGCACGAGATGGCCATTCACATGGCTCTTCAGGGCGGTCTGGGCGTCATCCATCACAACTGCACGCCCGAGGCCCAGGCCGACATGGTCAGGAAGGTGAAGCGCTATGAGAACGGCTTCATCCTCGACCCTGTCGTCATCTCGCCCACCACTACTGTTGGTGAGACTAAGGCGCTGAAGGAGAAGTGGGGCTTTGGTGGCTTCCCTGTGACAGGTACGTTGCTATGTAACCCTCAATTCCCCTTCTTTTCACTTCCCCCCCCCCCCTTTTCTACCTCCTCGCACGATGATTAAAACCTATAAAATCATAACTTTCGTTCCACCGAATCGACCTATGCGTCATGGGGACTTAAATCACTGAAAATCATGAGTGCTCTTACAATTATGACAATTGATCGTTGCATTTGTGTCTTGACTAATTTGCTAACGGTTGTGCCACAGAGACCGGCAAGCTTGGCTCCAAGCTCCTGGGCATTGTCACCAACCGGGATATCCAGTTCGAGGAAGATCTTGACAAGCCGGTCAGCGAGGTCATGGTCACTGACCTGATCACTGCCCCTGCCGGCGTCACTCTCAAGGAGGCCAACAAAATCCTGGCTCAGTCCAAGAAGGGCAAGCTGCCTATCGTCGATGCTGAGGGAAACCTCGTCTCGATGATCTCGCGCTCCGATTTGACCAAGAACCTCCACTTCCCCCTGGCTTCTAAGAAGCCCGACTCCAAGCAGCTCCTCTGCGCTGCCGCCATTGGCACTCGTCCCGCCGATAAGGACCGCCTTGCTCTCCTCGTTGAGGCTGGTCTCGATATCGTCGTCCTGGACAGCAGTCAGGGCAACAGCATCTACCAGATCGAGATGATCAAGTGGATCAAGGAGACATACCCCCACCTCGAGGTCATCGGCGGTAACGTCGTTACCCGGGAACAGGCAGCCGCCCTCATTGCCGCCGGTGTCGATGGTCTCCGCATCGGCATGGGCAGCGGTAGCGCCTGCATTACCCAGGAGGTTATGGCTGTTGGCCGTCCCCAGGCCACCGCCGTCTTCCAGGTCAGCACTTTTGCCGCCCGCTTCGGCGTCCCCTGCATCGCCGATGGTGGTATCCAGAACGTTGGCCACATCGTCAAGGGTCTCGCCCTCGGCGCCTCGACCGTCATGATGGGCGGTCTCCTGGCCGGTACCACCGAGTCTCCCGGTACTTCGTTCGTGTCCCGCGAGGGTAAGCTCGTTAAGGCCTACCGTGGCATGGGCAGTATCGACGCCATGCAGGACAAGAAGGCCGCCGGCGGCGGCAAGGATGCTCAGAAGAGCAACGCTGGCACTGCTCGCTATTTCTCCGAGGGTGACAGCGTCCTCGTTGCCCAGGGTGTCTCTGGCGCTGTTGCGCACAGGGGGTAAGCAATCCACCTTTTCTTCTCGTCTTTTGCTATCGAGTTACTCATGCTGACTAAATTATCGCAGCTCCGTCACCAAGTTCGTCCCTTACCTCATTGCCGGCCTCAAGCACTCCATGCAGGACTGCGGCATCACCAGCCTCACCGAGCTTCACCAGAAGGTTGCCGACGGTACTGTGCGGTTTGAGCTCCGCACTGCCAGTGCGCAGCTGGAGGGTGGTGTCAATATGGAGTCGTATGAGAAGAAGCTCTATGCTTGAGCTGGTTCAAAGAGTAACGGAGGGTTTTTTTTTATAAAAAAAGAAAAAAGCCAGTATCACAAAAGGGAACGAACTTAAAAAAAACGAATAAAATGTGATGACAAAAAGGGACTTGGTTGCGCGACAAAAAGGGGTTTTTACTATTATATCACACAGAGACACTGGAGTTGGGCGGCGTGGATTTGGGTTGGTTGATGTCGATGTTACCTATTTGCGTGCGTCTTCTGATTTTTATATATGGAAGATGCTATGCTATGCTATCGTTCGGGTAGTCGGGCAATAAAGCGCAACTGTCCGTCCGCAAGTCTTAAATGATAGGTGATATGATGACTACTTTGTCATACAGTAAAAGACGTCTGTAGAGATTCTCTATACCGTCCGCTTCTTGGGTGTTTCTGCTATCCCATATCGAAGGCATCACCTCGGATAGGGAGGGGTCTTGTGTCCGTTGTCACACACGATTTCAAGGTGCTTGGATCGGAGATGAGCTCCTCAATCAATAACAAATTTGCCACCGTTTTTTGCCTTTCCATTTCATTTTTGTCTATCACACACATATGACATGTTAGGCCCGTCTTTAAAAAGGATTCTATGCCATTCCAGCATAATATCAAACAAACAAACTGCCACCCAACCTAGTAGTCATGTATTTTTTCACATCTGGCATCAAACGTCCCAGATAATTTTCTTGAACCCCTCGATCCCATTTTAAGGGGAGAAGGGGAAGGAGAAATCAAGCCATTTGCTCGGAATCTAGTTCTTGAGCGCATCCTCGGGCAGCGTGGCAACCTTCTCTTGGAAGAGCTTGTATGCGCGGGCCCAAACGGGCTCGTTGCGCCAGTTGTTAAGGGTCAGGAGAGAGGGGAGGAGGTCGCCTACACGCTCTTTGTCAGTTACTGTCTCTAGAGATCGGGGGAAGCCGAAAAGAGAAGGGATACGTGGTGGAGGACCAGAGGAGAGGAACTTTGAGTGTACAGAGGATGGTGTTTTTGAAAGGGATAGGAAAATTTGGTTGTTGGGTTGGGGGGCGGGGGAAGGTGGAGACATACGGCTAAACTGCTCTGACGCCTCACGCGGCAGCAGCGAGGGGAGGTGGTCGATGGAAATGACGTCCACGGGAGGACCTTGCTTGAGACCCTGGACGCGGACAGTCGGGTTGCGGAAGGTGGTCGAGATGGAGTAGATGGGGACGGGGTTGAAGGGGTTGGTGGTGTCCTTAGCCAACGGTCAGCTTTAAAGTTTAGGGGTGAGAGGGGGAAGGCGGGGACGTACGGCAGAAACGTCGCAGACCACAGAAAGCTTGCGGTCGGGGACTTGGAGGGATTCCATGTTCACTGTGAAGGAAGAGGAGTTGTTAATTAGTAAAGTTCAATTATGGGGTAAGAGAGGGTGAGAAAAGAGGAGAAGGGAGAAAAGGGGGAGGGGGGGGGGGTAAAAGGAACATACCAAAGTTGGGGATCTTGCTAGTCAGGTAGATGCAGTTGACGAAGATATCGCAATCGGTGATCTCCTCTGTTCCGGGGTCAGCATAATCCCTCTCAACCAACACCCATAATGGCTTAAACGCACTGAACGGGCCGCCCTTAGCAGTCTCAGCCATATCCCACTTGAGAATGTTCTCCTCCTGCACGCCCGCCTTACGCAGCGCAGCGACAGCACCCGAGCCACAGCGACCCAGCGCGCCAATTACAATGACCTTTGGCTGACGACCCGCCTTGGCCGTGCCCTCCTCCAACGCCTTCTTCACGTCAGCCACGAGAGCCTCCTCGTTCGGGTAACTCTCCACGCCGGGGAAGGGCTCCTCCGGATGACTCTGCTGCCAGGCCCAGGCCTCGAGGGCGAGGGCGGCGCCGGCGAAGCCGGCGTGGAAGCCGAAGGCCTTTTTTTTGACGAGGTTAGTTAATTCAGGGGTTGGCTTGCAGAGGGAGAGAGGGTTTAAGAAAGGGGGGAGGGGGTGGGAGGGAATAACGTACAGCAACACGACGACCGCGCTCGTCAACCAGGAACTCGAGATCCAGAAGGGTTCCACCGCCGCGGGGGAAGCGGGCCAGGACCTTCTCCCAGCCGGCTTGCTGCTTGTCTGTTTAGGGGGCGGTTAATGTCGGAATTTGAGGTGAAGAGGATCACCTGATGGTAGGCTTGAGGGGGGTCACATACAGCAGTGGGCGAACTGGACGTGGACGTGCTTGAGGGGGACTATCAATTGTGTCAGTAGTGCTCGATATCAGGAAGACTGAGCAGAGTAGAAAAACTTACAGTCCTTCTCCTCCAGCTCCTTCAGACCAATAATAATGTGGTCCTCCGGGGCATCGGGCCAGCTGCCCTCGGGGACGAGGGTGCAGCCGACGGCCTCGAATTCGGCGTCGTCAAAGATGCGCTCGGGCGAGCGCTCGACGTTGACCACATAGCCAGCCTTAATCAGCTCGGCGGCCGTGTGCGGCGTGAGGGCAGAGCGGTGCTCGAGAGGCTTGGTCTCGCTGCGCAGGTGAAGCACGGTGGGGGCCATTGTGAGTGGTGAGGGGTATCAAGGGGATTGGGCGTTTTTAAGAATGAGACGAAGGGGTAGAGAGGGAGGGGATATTATAGAGAGAGAGAGAGAGAGGAAGAGAGAGAGAGCAAACAGTAATTGATGAAAATAGATAAAAAAATGATGAGAGTAGAAAAGACAGACACGCAGCAGTCAGCCAGTTTTTTATCAGGTCACTGAACTACTACTCCCAGGGGAAAGTGTCGCAGGATTGAGTCACTCTACGGCAGTCAGGGCCAACGGGATCGGAGTCAGACGCGCGCTGCGGGTGGTTTGAATCGGAGTGATAGACGGAAGCAAGGGTCTTGGTTGGCGTGTGTTGTGTCCGGGGCCGACAGCGGCGAAAACCCTACGCTCACTCACACACTCTGCTTGCTCACCCTCTGGGGAAACTTGGGGCCAAGCCAGCGCCCGGCAGGGCTCCCGCCGCTGCGAGCCACTGATCGCTAGCATCACGGGCGCTGAGTTGGCTCCCATTGGCCGGCCGCCCCATGGCCTGCACCTGGATTTTCCATGCTGCCCCTCCGCAGAGAGGATCCACGGCGGATGATGTGTGCTGAGATGGATGTGAGCTTCAGTCGAGGTAATACGTACGTAACATACCCTGAGCAATTGTATTGTGTGTATTATTATTTCACCACCACCACCACCCCCCTTCCGGGGGAAGGGGCCAAACACTCACCGCTTTCATTCATCCGGCAGAATTCGCAGTGAGGTCTTATCCCCACGCTGCCCCACGTTACCCGGCAGGCATAGAGTGGAGCCTCTGCCGGGGGATGACGAACCACATAAGCAGCACAAACTTCGATTTGTGCATGGCCCCGCCGACCATCATCAACGCCAAAAAAGTTCCCCATTGAGTAAACTGCTCGTGCGTGAGCCGGTGGCGGCGGCACAGATCCGCATCGGCTGTCACTCACACTGTCGCATGCGGACAGCGGCATGGCATTAACCAGCACATCCATTGCTGACTGGCACCACACGCCCACCGAAGTGCTGATGAGTAGGTGGATGGAATCTCCAGTCCAGAGCGATACTGGCTGGTAGAAAAGGCGGTGGATGCATCGGTGGACAGTGGGCAAAAAGCATGAGACCCCCAGTACCGGTCGGACATTGAGCCGAGACTATCGACGCCTCCCTCCTCCAAAGGAAAACCAAGCCAAAAGGTAAGGGAGAGACAAGGGAGAGAGGGCTTTTCTTAAATAGCAGGCAGACTAGACCAGCCAAGCAAAGCGAACGAACGGGATGCAGATTGGAGCGGAGAAAAGTCCGACGTCGTGGCTGTCGAATGGTAGCGAGCGTAGCTGCAAGGAGAGAACGGACGCCCACAGCACCGCCGAAGCGACAGGGTTGAATAACTGGGCATCTTTAGCACTCTGTGGAGGGCCCCATGGATGGTTTCCCCCCGCTAGGCGTGATCACGAGCGGGCGACGGCGTCGATGGCTATGGGGTACCGCCTAGCCCAGGACAGGAACCTATCGCAAGACATCCAATGCCGAGCGAGTGCGGCCGTTTCATCAGAGAGGATAACGGGTCCCATCAGACGCGTTGCGTGTGTTTTCCTTGTTTACACTGTTTTTTCCTTTGGGGGTTGGACTCGGGCTCGGGGAACGGCACCATCCACACCGGACGGGACCAGAACGGACCAAAACGACGTATAGCTGCCTGCCATCTGTGCTATCTGGATTCTGGCCAGCCAGTGACTCGGGCTAACTGAGCTATCGATCGGGCTTGGGCAACGCGGCAGCAGGGAAGCAAACGGAGCAGATGCTGGACACTGGACACTGGACACTGGACAGAGTTGTCTCTTTTCTACGCTAGCTTGGGTAGAAAGTCAACGTTGAGCCCAACTGGCTTGTGGACGTGGAGTATTATTCCCTTTTTGTGTACTGTTGACTATCTGCTTTGTTATCACGTTTCGCATGGCCTTAGCTACACGCTATGTTCAGAGTTGAGAGGCCATACACTGCGCGCCTGATATACGAAATATACGTTAAGGATACGGCACCATATATTATATTATCTACGGTTTAGATATCAAACATGTCCAGCACATCTCGGTCGACATCGCCAGAAATCTCTCAACAACTTAACCAGCCCTTCCGGCCTTTGATGCCCGCTCCCCCTGGCATGGCCCGCATCGTGAGCCCTCAACAACCAGCTTTCAGCCATCTGTTTGCCTTTCAAGCCCAACCTACTGGGTCATCTTCCCGTCGAAAGCAGGGCAAGACGATCACAGCGGCATGCGGTGCCTGTAGGAAGCGCAAATCCAAGGTGCGATATTCCATGACCCAAACCCCTGCCATTACTTATACAAGAAACCTTCCCGAATAGATGACGTCTGACAGAAGCTTGCTTGGCCAACACCCCACGATATAGTGCGACGGCACCCGCCCAACCTGCCTCGTCTGCCGCGAAAAAGGTACGCCCTGCGAATACGACACGAACGTCTCGGAAACGCACGCACAGGCCCTCAAGCGCAAGTATCAAGAGCTGCAGACCCAAAAGGCCGCTCTCGAACAAGTCTATAGCCTCCTACAAACCCGGCCCGAGGAGGAAGCCCGGGCGGTTTATAGGAGGATTCGGTTGGGAGAGGACCCGACCTCGGTGCTGAGACATGCCCAGTACGGCGACGTGGTGATGCAGCATGCGCTGGAGCCGCAGTCAAATTTCCGGTATGAGTTTCCCTACCTCAGGGAGATGCCGCCATTTTTGGTGTGGGAAGGGAATCCGTATTTGAGAGCCGAGATTCATGATTGGGAGTGGAGGGCGAGTGTGTCGGGGAGTGAGGGATCGCCTTTGCCGCAGAGACAGAGGGCGTTGTTGTTGTTGCCGGGTACGACGACGGGGACGGGGGATGATGTGGCTAGTCCGAGATCGACGAGTTCGGGGACGAGCGAGACCTTGTCTGCTGGGTCGTTGACGTCAGATAGGAGGGAGCCGTATCTCAAGCCGTATCATACGGCGAGGGTGGTGCATCCTTGGCTGGACTCGGTCAAGCCGAGTATGTGGACGGGCGTGAGCGATGATGATGTGTTAATGAGGAAGCTGCTACATGACTATATTTTGTTTGATTGGGACTGGTTTACCATGTTTCATAAAGACTATTTTCTGGAGGATATGGCGCAGGGCAGGAGGAGGTTTTGCTCGTCGTTGCTGGTCAACGCGGTGTTGTGCATGGGAAGCGTAAGACTCTTCCTCCCTCCCCTCCCTCTCCCTCTCTCTCTCTCTCTCTCTCTCTCCCTCTACCTTATCGCAGCTTGATATTGGCACTTTGCTAACAACTGCAGTACTGCCACCGCGGCCTACGCAGCTGCGCCGAGCACTGGAACCCCAAGTCCTTCTGCTACCAGTTCCTGGCCGAAGCCCGCCGGTTGTTTGACATCGATGCCGAGGAAGAGCGTCCCGTTAGGCTGCCCGACGAGCAGGACGCGGACTGGCATCGTAGACTCGTCGAATGGGAGCAGCGACGGCTGTGCACGATCCAGGCCGCCATATTGATCAATCTGATCCAGAACATAAACGGGGCCGACAAGATCGGCTGGCGGGTGACGGTACGGGCGCTCGAGCTGGCAAGGGAGATTAAGTTGTTTGATGAGCCGCCAGAGTACTACGGCCCAGAGATGGTCATTGTCAGGACGTATACCGCGTGGGCATGTTACTGCTGGCAGAGGTACGTCCTCCCCAAACCTTCTTTCCTCCCCCCCTCTTCATTCTCTCCCTTCTCTACCCCCCCCCCCCGACGTATCACCTACCCTTACTGAGCCCTCTCCCCTCCAGCCTAAGCACATTCTTCTACCTCCGTCCGCCGCTCATCAAAGACCCGCCCAAAGCCCTCCTCCCCGATCCCATCGAAAACCCCCAATGGTACGGCGAGCTTTGGATAGCCTACCCGGGCAGCACGCACCGTTTCCCGACTTACCACGGTCTCTCCTTCAAAGCAAAATGCGAGTTCTGGCGCATCATTACCGAGATCGGCTCAATCATGTTCGCCGGCGACCGTTCCCCCATTGTGATGCCCTTGAAACAAACGCTGCATTACGTCAACCGGCTACGGGACTGGTTGCATGGGTTGCCGGAGCCGCTCTCGCCGAGCAAAATTGTATTTCCCCAGCATCTGAAGCTGCATTTAGGTTACTATTATATGTTGATCGAAGTGATTTCCCCAATCATAGGGTGTACCGAGGTCGATGGGGTACCCCTCAACCCGACGCCGTATGATTTGTACCTGGAGGCAGTCAACTGCCACGAGACGCTCATCCGCATCCATTACCTGCGACATGGGTTTGAGGGATTTGACACGTTCATGCTTCACTTTCTCGGGTTCAACAATCACCTTGCTATTCGCGCGGTCGAAACATCCCAGGGATCTTCCTACCTCGAGCCCCGGCGGTCATCAGTAATCCTCTTTGCGAAGGGCATTCATGAGTTCAGTCAGGCATTGTTCATTGCGAAGGCGATATTGAAACTACAAGTGGGCAGGATGCAGGCGAGCGAAGCGGAACTGTTGAGGAGGGAGCTCGAGATTGAGCCTGAGGAGGTCGCGTATGGGCCGATGGAGCAGACCGTGCAGAGTGACTGGCCGGAGTATGATGTCGGTGTCGAGGCGAAGGCGGAGAGGGTTAAGGAGGGGAAGACGCTGGCGACGAGCTTGGCCGAGTTGAGTCTCTTGGAGAGGGAGAGGAAGTCGGCCAGTCCGGAGAGGTAGTAATGGCGTTGAGGGTGTTTTGGGACAGGATTCGAGCTTCAGGACAGGCTTTATTTAGGCGTCGGTTGCTTGCTGGGCGGCGCCCGCTGTCGAACATCGAAACAGCCTAGTCGAAGTGGTTCGACCGTTGACCATTCCCAGCGTTACACAACCTTAGATATCGTCGCCGTTGTGGGAGTCATTGCCCGGCCCGTGCACACAACAGGGAGCAGTGCGACCTACAAGTATACAACAGCCAGGACTAATTGGTCGGGCCAAGACCATGTGGGGGGGCTATTGGGGGCTATTAGAGCCATGCACCACGACCAACGACGCAACGGCTGACCGAGACCTACCTCTGAAAGCCGGCGCATATATCCAGCCGTCGGATGTAAGCGAGGATGTATCCCGTATGGGAAGCGTGAGCACTAAGAATGGCTGAAGGCCAGGCCACGGCTCGACGGATATAAGTAGAAGGGTATATCAGGCCGCCGCGGCCGGTTTGGGCCCCTTGGGGTCCTGTGAGTGTGTGACTCCCCGTCTGGTTTGCTTGATCTGGTTGTCTCCTTGTCCTCATCCTTCAGAGAACAAGTCCCTCGTCCTTCTGCGCTGCTCACTGGCACTCTGGTACAACTCATCCTCATCCTATTCACAGCAGTCAGAGCGAGTTTGCCAGACATCATGGCCGACACCGAGCCCGATGTATGTCCTGTCCGCTCCCCCAAGCTACCAGGTACCTTAGCTCTTGTCTAACATGCTGGTTCCTTAGTACTCCAGCGACAGCTCGATCCCGGGCTACTCTCGCATCCCGCGCCGGTCGTTGGGCGACACTAATTCCCATCTCTCCAAAAGGGAGCGCGAGCTCAGAGCCATGATCGACAGTCTCCCCGGAAAGCCCGTCTACGGGCCAGACGAGGTGCCTGAGATCTTGTACACGACCAGGTTCTTTGACAACAATAACCGTTATGTTGAATGTTAGTCCCTTAGTCCCCTTTCTTCCTTACTTTACTCTCTCTCTCTCTCTCTCTCTCTCTCTCTCCTCCTCTCTCTCTCTCCCCCTCCCCTCCATGGCTCCATGGCGAAAATGTTGCTGATAATTGATATGTTGACAGCCCGCTAATCCGACCGTCCCCTCTCCCCATACGTCTTCGAAACCCTCACCGAGGCCATCGCCCAAGGCCGTCTCGTCCTCGAAATCAAGACCGACCTCCACCCCCACGGCAGACACGGCGGCATCCGCGGCGGGGGCGGCTACCTTCCCCCTCTTCTTCCCCTTCCCGACCCCAACAAGTTTCCCCACGAAGCCATGTCCGGCCGCACCGTCATGCATATCCACTCGCACTATCTGCGCTGCGCCCTCGCTGCCGTCGCGACCTACTACCCCGGTTTCGAATCCATCCTGCACTCGGGCAAGATCGAACCGCCCTACCGAGTGCTCGTGCACCTGTGGAAAGACTTGGAAGCGTACCGCGACAACCAGCCTGCGTGTCACGATGAAGACTGGCGTGCCACCACCGCACGACACATCGACGTTCTGCTCGGATTCTTGCGGGAACAGTATGCAGATGCCCTAGAACTGGAGCGCAAGAGTCGCTGGGAGAACCCCTCCGGCGAACCAACCGCCACGTGGGACATGTTCTGGGTGCTGTTGGCCCCCGGCACCGTCGTGTATGTCAACAATGAGCGCGACGGGAGGATGTTAATGCCCGGTGTGGTGCACGAGGTGAAGTATCGCGAGTCGTGGACGGGTCACGGTGGTTTGTATGAGGTGTGGGTGTGGAATGTGAGGTGGAAAATGGGGCGGTTGAGAAGGAGCTGTGTGCCGGTGCATGTGGAGGCTTGGAATGGGGAGCGGCCGATTCGGTCGTTGCCGGTTATTCCGGAGAGGTTTGTGCCGGGAGGGCCGGAGGATGTTAGAAGGAAGATGGTGAGGTTGGGGGAGATGTTTTGGGAGTTGGCGAAGCAGCCGACTTACAAGGAATACGATAGACCGGTTTGGTGGAGGCGTGGGCGGGCAACGAGGGTGAGTTCCAGTCCCAGAAACATTTATATACCGAAGTTGTTTTTTAAGTGTTTTGAGTACTCAGCAGCCTACTACCAATGAATGCACGCTGACAGTTCCCAGCTCACCGGCCGCGTCATAGTCGACTGCGAAGGCTATACACACTTCATGGCCAGGGCCCATACTCTCCTCCATATCCTTATGACTCCGACGACGACGACAACAGCCCGTACAGACGACGCACCTCTTCCGGTAGGCATTCTGGCGACATGCGAATTGCCGCCAGGCGAGCTGCCCTTCCCGAGTTGCAGGCCTCTTGCCCCTGTTTGGCGTGCATCCTGGCGGGCGTCAAACCTGGTCCAAGCCCCTGGGACGGGTTTGAGAGCCGCGATCCGAAGACGGAAGAGCTGCCGGCGAATAGAGAGCTGTATTTGATGTTGATTAGCCCCTTTATCCCTGCGTTTTTGTTGGGCTTTCGGCGATGGGGTATGTCCCTCCCTATTCTTCCTTCTTTTCTACCCCCTTCCTTCCCCCCCCCCTTTTTCCCTTTCTCTCTCTTCTTCCTCCTACTTATGATGGGTTGCTAATTCCATGTCCAGGGTATGTCAATGTCTCCCACATCCGTCCTGTCGTCCCTAACCCCTCCATCTTCGACTCCCTCATTCTCCCCGCCGAAATCAAGGCCACTGTGCGCGCCATGATGGGCCAATTTGGCCACTCTCAATTCTCTGGAAACTTGTCACCCTGGCCGGCCGACCGATTTCATCCCTTCCAAAGGCCTCGGCCGCATCTTCCTTCTGCACGGCCCCCCCAGGCGTCGGGAAAACCTGCACAGCCGAATGCGCCGCCGAACTAACCCACCGCCCGCTACTCGCACTTACAGCCGGCGATCTGCACAACGTCGACTGGAAGGGGGATGTCGAAGCCGCGCTGCACTACTTCCTCCATCTTGGCGAGAGGTTCGGCGCGCTGGTGCTGCTCGACGAGGCGGATGTGTATCTGGAGCGGCGCAGCTCGGGGAGTGAGGATTTGAAGCGCAATGAGATGGTTAGTGTGTTCCTGAGGGAGATGGAGTATTTTAAGGGGGTGTTGTTCCTCACAACGAATCGGGTCGAGGTGTTTGATGAAGCGTTGGTGAGTCGCGTGCATGTGGCGTTAAGGTATGAGGAGTTAGGGGTTGAGGAGAGGGCGAAGGTTTGGGAGGGAGGATTTGGGAGGCTGGGTGAGTTTTTTCTTTT